CATCAGCATATTTTTGCAAATTCAAAATTAATTGTTGTTTTGTTTGAAGAAAATACTCTTTGTGTTTGAACGGAAAGTGTTTCGACATAACCCAATGTATCTCGGTTGAAGATAATTTTTTCACGTATGAGAAGAAATATTGGTTTTTTGCTATTGTAAGAGGCAACTCAGCACCAGCAATAAATTTCACCATTCCATTTGAGCATTTTCCTTTGAATATATCTACGTGGTGAGGGGCGAAGTTGTAGTACCGGCACTTTGACTACCAAGTTGCAGTTGTGTTTGACCAGTTTGAAGAAGTCTATGTTTGACCGTACACGCTTTGTAATGACGGTTGAGGTGAGTGGTACCAATGTCTTTTTGCCATGCCAATCGTTATTGGCAGTATTTATATACTACTTTGGACTCTGGGACTCTATCGACAACACTTTCCGTCGAAATCAATTTGAAGTGATTCCAACATTTTGCCTCTTTTTTTCCCTTTCGCTTTCCTCTAATATCGAGAATGTTTAATTCGAGTTCTTCCTCCTTTTGTTTTTCTTGGGCTTTGAGAATATCGACGTCATTCAAATCAATTGGATTATTGCTGGGGTTCGCACCCAAATGTGGAATATTTTCAGGAATTGGTACTTCATTTAGATCGAAAAATTGATTCCGAAATTGACTTTGCGGTATCGTGGGTGATTCGCCTCCGAAATTGAATAAGCCCTCGACAAATGAGTATGGATCCATTTCAATTTGTGAATTGTGAAGATTAGAAGATACAATGTAGATTAATAGATGATATAGGAAGATGATTGAATTGTAAAAATGAATTGAAATTGAAATTGAAATTGAAGATGATTAAATTGTAAAAATGAATCTATACAATATGATTATATTTTATAAGAGTTGAGACAAATCAATTGAGAGCATAAGAGATTGAGAGAATGAGGGTTGAGATAATGAGATTTGAGAGAGTTGAAGAAAAATCTTGAGTCAATTGTGGGGCTATTTATAGAAAGGGGAAGGAAGGGAAGAAGGAAAAAAAATAAAATTTAAAATTCAGTGATCGAAACGATCACTGAAATTGGAAAAAGTGACCAAAATGGACGGGTTCGCTCGGCTTGTGCTCGGACTCTTTTATTACAAGCCTGAACCGCCCACGAGCTTCATTTTCACGAACCGAGTGGGTGAGCTGACGAGCTGCTCAGCCCCTTTTGCCATCCCTAAAATTAGGGCACACACTTCCTTTTCAATAATTATTTAAAATATCATTTCATCCTTTTTTTTTTTTTACTATAAATACTGTATTTTTGTAGTAAAATAGAAATATGAAAACTTAACCAAATTATATTAGCTAATCATTTAATACCTAAAAATACTCCAAACACTCCCATAAATTAACCCACAACATGCCATTACCTAAAATATCAAAAATATCCCCAAATTGGAGACATCTCATCATCAGTTCCCAATTTCAATCCCAGCTCTACTCTATCCTCCATCTCCATAAAACACGCAGAATGAAATCTAGAAAACCCCATTATCATATCTCATACATAGATGTACTGCAATGTATGATAAATACCGTATCACACAAATCTACAATTGATTCTAGGGGTGGGTGCGGGTCGGTTCGATTCGGTTCTAAAGAGAACCGAATCGAACCAAAATTTTTGGGTATCTAGTAAATGGAACCGTCGGGTCCAAATATAATTATAGAACCGTTCGAGTTCGGTTCGATTCTGTACTATAACTAAATTTTTTAATATTTATAACAACATTATATAAATACAACTAATGACATATTCAATGGTTTTGAAATGTTAGAGACTAATAGACTACCTTTTTCAAATGATCACTTCAGTCAAAGTTTCGATCGACGGAGGTCACAGTTTTGATCGGAGGTCACGGCGTCGACCGACGATTGTATAGATTTTGGAATGTCAGCGAGGTTGTGAGAGTGAGTGCGAGAGTCAAGATAGCATCATGCACTTTAGTGTAGGTGTTTAGGGTTATTTAGTGGATTGGATCTTGTTGGGCTAAGAAATGAAACAATAAAATGGGTAATTGGGCCAAAATTTTAAAAATTAGAAATGAAACAAATTATTTGGCCAAAAATTTGGATTTAAAAATCGTTAATTTGTTAATTTGTTTAGAAAAAATTAAAATTAAAATAATTTGATTTATTCAATAAAAAAAATTAGGAAGTTTCGGTTCTTATTCGGTTCTTCAGTTCTTGGTCTAGAACCGAAAATCGAACCGTAACCGTCAGTTCTCAATTCAGATACCCGTTCGGATATTTAATTTGACAAGAACCGTCGGGTTCGGTTCGGTTCGAGAGATTTGCTCAGCTCTAATTGATTCGATTCTTCCATTGATTAGGATATCGTGATTATTTAAGAACCTAGTCTTTGTAGAATTATATCCATTCGAAATCAAAAAGACCTTTATTCGATTCCTGAAATTTCCATCATGGATCCTGACAAAAACACATCTTCTATGGGCTCTATATGAATAAGGATAGACTGCGAGTACACTTATACTGTCGTCATACCGTAACGTTGTTTGTCCATAGCTACACGGATTGGGTACTGTCCCCATCTACAGTATGCACAATCTTGATACGGGAACAACTAATGTCAACCTTTAGCTCGTTCGATATCATATCTATAAGACCCACGTAATTGCAACCAAACAGAACAAGTAGACCAAATATATCTGATCCACGAACTACAATACGTTTATTGTGTCCATAATTCTCTACAAGGTTACAGTTAGATTATAATTAAACATTCTATACAAGGATGCAATTATATTATAATTAAACATTTCATTGAACGGAAGGGAAAATAGTTAGTTTATAATAAAAGCATCATATTCTAGGCAACTGGATCCATATAACATCACAATCAGTGTGTAAGAGTAGCAATGACAGATTTCTTCTAATGATCTCAGATCTCATACAGTGATTAGTACAACATCACGAAATAATTTAAATATATACTAAATAACCAGTAGTTTTGTTTTCGTTCTGCAATTATTTCAACTGTATTCGATAGATTACGGCCCCGTTTGGTAGTGCTTTTTACCCCCCCAAAAAATTAATTTTTTGACTATTATTTCACTATTTCAACCATCATTTTTTATTTTTTCACTTTCATGTGATGTCCACTTTTTTCCTAATTGTAAAAAAAATAACTACCAAACAGACCCTACATACGGTATTCATCTCTCCTTTTTTTGAATTTAATTCTGATTATGGAATGCATTTATTGGAAAACGTGAAAAGGGGTCATTCAAAATCTTCTTCGGTTACAAATTGTAGTTTAAGTGCTTGTTTGATACGAATTTTGATGATTGATTTTTTGACCGTTAGAGATAAAGTGGGTCCTACCTTAAGAGAAGAATTCAAAAATAATGATTGAAATAGTGAAATAACGGTCAAAAAATTGATTTTAATTGGCTTAAAATCTAAACCGAACAAGTTGTAAATGTTAAATTTAAAAACTAGTATTTTAAAACATATTTAACCTGCAATAGATATTTATGATTTAATTTCTCACTATACAGTAGGGGTGAACGCGGTTCGATTTGGGCGATTTGTGTTATATTTTTAAGTTAAATCATTTTATGCGGTTTGAAATTTTTTCAAACCAAACCAAACCATTTTATTTTTCGAACCGAACCAAACCAAACCATAATTTGTGGTTTGTTCGGTTTTAATTCGCGATTTACCTTTCGACATTATAGTAATCTATTTAACGTAAGTTAAATATAAGTTTAAACGAAAACTAATTATGTTAAATGTTAAATTATATTCATATTTACCATGAAACTCATAAATAAATTATTTTCAAATTTGGTTGCTAAAAGATGTTAATAAAAAAAATACATATTTCTTTATTTTTATTTATCTTTTCTTGTTCGACATTCGTATTGTTATATAACTATTGGTAAATGTAGAGTTACATTATGTTATTATAGTTTGGTTAAAACTCCTTTCGTCTTGCTAGTGAAATGTTAAATAAGGATTGAACATGATATGTTTAGATGTACAAAAATTGATAGAGTTTTGATTTATTGGAAATTGAAAATTTTCTTCTTCTAACTACTTTATGAAAGTAGAAGATAGTAACACTGGTTAGGGAACTTTAACATTTTCACACAGTGAATACGTTTCGTCCTTCGTTTTTTCCAAATCACAAACTAATTCATTAATGAACTAGGCACACGAATAATCATTTTTCTATCCAAACCAGAACTCACAAGTATATAATAAGTTAAAAAAGAAAGAAAGAAAGAATAATGAAAAAATAAGTTGAATAAGAATCTCACACGAGAATAGAGAAAGAGACGTCTCGGGGAGAAATTAGTAGACTAAGAAAAACAGATAAAGGCGATTGGTGATTTGTTCAACAGTGGCAGACAAGCGTCCAATGTTAGGAAAATGAGAGTTTATGTTAGGGCTTCTAAATCTTTGGACGTGATTTACTTTGTTGAATCATGATTTGAATTATTGAAAATACATGTTTTTTATTTTTTATTTTTTATTTTCCATTTCATATGATTTCGAAATAATTTTAGTTTAACTTAGATATCGGGTGATGACATGTGTTATGAATCTGTTAAATTATAAGTCAATAATGATGAACATAATTTATTTTTTAAGATTATTTCAATAGGTTGATTATAATTTATATTACTAAATTTGTATTTTTTTTTAAAAAGAAAAACCTGTAAAATTTTTAAGTTAATAAAATTAATGTTTTAATTAAAAAATTTAATAACGGCTCGGTTCGATTTTGTGCGGTTTTTTAAAATCAAAACATAAACCAAATCATTTTGAAACGATTTTGTTCATTTTGACGAAAAAGAAACCACGGGTCCAAGTGGATCCGAACCAACGATTTCAAGTCAACGATTTCGATTCGATTTACGATTTTGTGGTTTTTTGGTGCAGCCCTACTATATACTAAGATGTGAATAAAGTTTTTTATACTGATTCATATATAAATTTTTCCGGTGTGCTTACTCTCTGTCTCGTGGATACAGAAATTGAACGGCCCACAGACACAGCCCAAATGGAGATCGAAGAGCCCATACCGATGATCCACCGCCTCGAGCAGGCTGTGGTAAACAGAATCGCCGCCGGTGAGGTCGTTTAACGGCCAGTATCGCCGTCAAAGAGCTGGTCGAGAGCAGCCTCGATGCTGACTCCACCTCCATCTCCGTCATCGTTAAGGACGGTGGCGTCAAGCTCATCCAAGTCTCCGATGACGGCCACTGCATCCCCGTATTAATTTCCCCCCTTTTTCCATCGTTACATGCTATTATATCGCACATTTCAATAAATGCACAATAACGTACACGTGTCTGTCCGTGAGTGCATACTCCTTTTGTCGTCGATGAATACAGTAAAGTTAGGAAAAAGGACGAAACTCTGATATTAGAATGTTTGGTTATGGTTAAAATTACATTTTTAGAACTCACGTTCTAGAAATTCAAGTTTTGTTGGTAAAACATTATACTGAAAATAATGTTTAGCAAACTTACAAGTAAATTTCTTTACTTTTATACATAACCAAACACCCTGGTGATATAGGATTTTATAGTCTAAATTTGATGTAAGATGAAAATTACAATCTTTACATTTGTGCGCACACGGACAAAGGAGCATTTGAAGCCGGTTAACTTTGTTTGTCATCTTTGAATTGTAGTCATGAAAACATGTTTGGACGGCTAATCAAAATAGGGTCAGAAGAAAGTATCATGAAATCAATGAATTATGTAAGGACATATGTATAAGTAAAACTATGACGGGAATGCAAGGGGAAAAAGAAAAAAAAGAGAGAGAATGGATATATAAAAGCAATGCACATGATAACCCCTATTTGTCATGACACAACTATGTGAGTTTCTTGAATAAATACTTAAGGATACAAGTATTAGGAGTTTATTGCTACGCTTATATTTTCTTATGAGGGGAAATATGTTAGTCTATATAAATAATGAATGTCAAATCTATCTCTCTCACAAGACAGCCAACTGGACGTATGCTTGTTAGTAGTGCAAGGTCTTTTTAAAAATATGAATGCACCCATAATGCCCAAATAAGCAGTTGATAAAGAGATTTTTATTTTTTTATTTTTGGCTGTCATTATTTATAATTTTTATATGGCTTGACTTGTATGAATTGTGGGAAAAACTTTCTTCACTGGATTCATGTGACATCAATTTACATCACATGTAATTTTCGTGATTTATAATTCCAGAACGAATTTATAAAATTTGGAAATCGATGTGAGAGAAGTATTCATTAAATGGGAGATGTCAAAATATCTTGAGCTACATTTATATTTAATTATATTTTGGGAATTTTGTGGATGTTGCTGACCGTAACTCTCCCATACTTCTCATTTATGCATAATGATTTTATTGATTTGAACTTATTTTTCTACTGTTTTCGTTGTGCTTGATGATTTTCCAACATTATGCGAAAGGCATACAACATCAAAGTTGAGTAAATTTGAGGACTTACAGTCCATTAAGTCAATGGGGTTTAGAGGGGAGGCCTTGGCAATTTAGGATAAATGGAAAAGTAGAACTTGTTCAGAAGATAACATAATGATTGGTGACTGTTATCGAAGGGGCAAAAAAAGGGCCAGTTTTGTTGTCAGTTAATGGAACCTTCAGCAGTACTAAATTTTTTGCTTGCTTGTATATGAGTGTTAAAACTAAATATTAAGTAAACTAATATCGTTGCTTATGTAATGGATTTTATGATGGGGATGGATGTTCAAGTTGTTAGTAACTTGCAGGTCCGAAAGTGGAAAATGAAAAACAGGTTACTGAAATCCTGTACGCAATTCCACCTGCTTTTTAAAATTTATAGCCAATTTCTGACATCTGCTAGCAGCACTGAATTAACTGAAAATGATATTCACTACCTGCATTCTTCAAAGTTTGACTTACTAAACTTGTATAACATATGGGTCTTTCTTATGCGGTCTTGATCCACTGTCATGATTTTACATAATCTATACTTTGTTTGACACAATAATCCTAGTGTTTCGTTTGTTTGCAATGTTCTGACAGCAAAGAGCTTATGTACCAGCAAGTTTTGCGGTGCTTTGTGCATTTTAATGCAATCCAAATGAGTGACCCTGCTCCATTGCGAGAATTAATAATGCTGGCACTGAAAGAGGAAGATTTGGATCTAGAAACCAATGAAAATGAGGGCCTAAAGGAAAGGATTGCCGAAGTAACTCATCTTAGACTTAGCACTAACTATTAATTCTGTAAAATATAAGGACTGTGTTGCAGCTTTGCATAAGATTGAATTAGTTTTTTATGTTTTGATTTTAATTTTTGCACTGCATTTCTTTGCTGGGTTTTATCAAAGTTTCTCTCTTCACATTATTGCTAGTACTAGTAGCCACAGAAGTTTGTCATTTCAGACTTCAAGCAGACTATAACTTTAGGACTAGTTTTTTCGTTATTGATTTTCAACATTTATAGTTTTTGGCACACCTGTATTTAATTCCATCACATTTGCACATCCCCAATATCCCATCTACTACTTCCGTTGCAACATAAACCAATCCTATTTACCATTGGCACCCTTAACTATTGCCGTATTACTTTTGTACCACTATCACACCTCTTGTTATACCATATCAAGGCTGTCGTTTTGGGATTAAAAAAAAAAGAAATTTCATTTTATATCTCGTTCTAAAGTATTTATTGGATAGATGATTTCCGTAGATAGTTGTTTATAATCTATTCCAGAAGACGCAAGTGTTCCTAATCTTGCCACTAAGCCTTAATAGGTTAACCGGTAATGTATGCACTTGATTGGAAGATTATTTTAAACTAAGGATCTAATGAGGTATTGATCCAATTGTTAGCTCTAAGCTTCATTATTTGAATCACTACAATAAATGTAGATAATTTGCTCTTGAATTCCTTAGGTTACATCTCCTAGTCAAATTAAAGAATCAGTCCAATTAAGTATTAGGAAGTGTGTTGATGGAATCTGAGTATGACTTATAAGTTTGCTTGATTATGCTCATTATTGTACTTCTAATATTTTCATTTCTTTGCTAGATGAATAAAGAACTTCTCAAGCAGAAGACTGAGATGCTGGAGGAGTATTTTGGCATTTGTATTGAACCCAGTGGTAATTTGTCGAAGATTCCTGTAATACTTGATCAGTACATGCCAAACATGGACCATTTTCCAGAGTTTGTTCTTTGTTTGGGTGATGATGTTAGTGTCATGCCGTTCATTTCCTTTGCACTCTTTTATTTACATAACAATTTATCTACATCCTGATGTTTAAGGCACATGAATCAGTTTTGGATACCTTAACAGGATATGGACGTACTGAAGTTAATTACTACAGGCCAAATTTTTTTAGTTACCACATAAGAATAATTTATCCATTGATTAGGTTTCTGTGTTACCATTATGATTATACGATGGATACCATTCTAAAGTGGTGTACCACTTCGGTGCTTCTCTTTCTTGCTCTCGGTCTATTATGCAGTGTTATGAGGTCTAGAATGAATTACTAGTTTGATGTTAAAAATGTTTTATCCTCCAGAACAAATATACCTTAGTAAACTTGGGGCATTTGCCTCCTCTCCCTGAGTTTCTTAATGCCATTAGAGTAATTCAAAGGAAGTTCGGTTTTCTTAATTCTTCCATTCTTACATTTACTGACCTCAAAGAAATAAACAACGTCGACATAATTGCACACAGCATACGATTCCCCTCTTACTTAAAATCCTTGATCCGCCCTTACTGACAACAATCTGGTTGTGCCTTCACCGCAATCAGGAAGCTTCCTGATCCATCATCCCATTTGTGATTATTCTTATGACTTTTGCCTGATTAAATTCTTAAGTGGTGGAATATTTGATTATGAGGCCCAGAAATATGAACTGTGTATTTTCTTTTTCAACCTTTATTCTAAAACAGAAACAAATGTCAATTTCGTTTGGTTATGTTTTATTTTGTCTTATTGAATTTGTCGGGGGAATCTTTTAGAATGGAGTTATATTAACACGATGCTTTCTGCCAATAGTTTGTGTTGCTTCAGCTGTCTTTTAGTATTGAGAACTACTTTGTTATTATGATCTAAAGAAATTCTCTGCTCAATAGTTTTGAGAACTGTTTTACGCAACTTCTATACATGTTTGAAGAGTATTCACTGATGGAATAACTTGTCCAAATCGGCGTGCTTAATAACAATTCTAGCTGCATAATGAGATAAAGATGCATGATAGTCCTGTGGTTTTTGGAATTTGCTGACTATCCCTCCGCACTCTGCAGTAGTAAAATACATCTTGCTTTAGAGTTCATAATTTTGATTGATCGCATGCCACTGCATGGTGCTTAATTCATGTTGAAGTTTTGAATATTAGCACGAGCCAAACCATATTGTTGATAGTTACATATACTCCTATAATTCATCACAAGCTAAATTTTACCTATTTTTCTATGTTGATTGGGAGGATGAGAAGAATTGTTTTCAAACAATTGCTGCTGCCATTGGGAACTTCTATGCCATGAATCCTCCTTCGTTGCCTAATCCATCAAGTAATGGCTTGCAGTGTTAAAAGAGGATGGTGCTTTCTCGCAGTCCTGGAGGAGGAAATTTCAGAAACTGCTGGTATGACTCCTTTGTCAAAAAATCATTTTGTGAGCAGGACCACCAAAGGCTGAACCTTACAAATGTCATATAGTTTATTATATTGTTCTTTTTCCTATTGCCGAAAGAATTTATTTTGTTGGACCTAGGTAAATGATGCCAAAGAGATCTAACATGAAAACTTGGTGAAACTTTTTGACTAATGATTAGCATTATAACAAACCTAACATATTATAAATGAGAACAAACTTCATAGACCAATAATCCCATCCAAAGTTTTACTTCTAAAGACTTCCAAGTTAAGACACCATCATTTGCCTCCTATACAGTTCTTTTCATGCTCACTCCGGAAGCGGAACTTCAAGCGAACAAGGATTGCCACTTAATAGAGTTTTCCCAGTCCACCAACTTTCCATTCCTTGGAAGCTTCTGAACTGTTGATGGCATGCTTGGGATCATCAATTTGATCTCTATGCTTCCTGTATAGCAAACTTTGTAGCTCCTTATGTGAGAAAGTTGTTTATGTAAGAATACATTTTGTACCTGTAATGGGCTTAAAAAAGAAATGGAAAGGAGTTGAAATTTATAACATCGTCCCCTCTATTTGCTTCAAGAAGAACTGTTAGTTTCTTACAGGATGAAAATGTTGAGGTTGAGATCTGTATCAGGCAATCTATGACCAACAAGACCGATGTAAATTAGTTTCTTACCTAATTATTTGGCAACTTTGACTTTCTACTTTGTTTTGGCTAGAGATAGATGCAATATCAAAATTTAAGTCTGTCTGATTTTCTGGGATTTAGGTTGATTGTCGGCGTTTATTATTATTATTTTTTACAGTGGTTTGTGACCTTAAAATTTCATAGTCTATGACCTCAACGATTTGGTTTGTGACCTTAAAATTTGATGATCCGTGACCTCAACGATTTGGTCTGTAATCTTAAAATTTGATGATTTGTAACTAAAAAATAATTTGTGACTTACAAAATTTTTGATTTGTAATCTCGAAATAATCTGTAACAAATTAATTTGATGATATGTGACCAGTAAATAAATTTGTGGCCATTAATCGTGTAACTGTAACTTTATTATATTTAATTAATAAATATTTTCAATTAATTATACAGATACCTGAATTTTGAATTTTTAAATTTTGTACCTGATTTGTGAATTGGTGTAAACAATACACATGAATTATGAATTTTTTCCTATTTTGTTTCCATCCATGAAACTGTATCTCAAGCCTCCAACCTCAATGGCTACAAATGGAACATTTGTCCAGGTAATAAAATTTCAGGATTAAATTGTTACTTTTGGTGCAGTAGGTTCTTTGCCAACACCTAATAAACATTTAAAAAGTCTTCATTGTATACCAGTTTGGTACTATTCTACCGCATTTTTCAGTTTGCTTATATTTGGTTCAGAGGGATAAGAAGTGTAAGCTGAATATTGGCAAGTGAGTTCCATTCTGCTTCCGAGAAGAAAACCATTTGTCTTGTTTGGTAAGCAAGATAGAAGAAAGGGACCAAAGATTACAATGTGCAGTAAGAAGCAAAGAAATGAACGAGAATGATGATTTCAACTTTCATTTCCCTCTCTTTCCCTTATGTTCTCGCAGAAACCTTTTAAGATTTTTTTACAACATCCTATACCTTCTTGTTCCCTGAACTTTGCTCTCCCATTTGATTCCATTGCTATGAGAAGAACATCTTCATTGCTGCATGGTTGAGTTTCTGCTTGATTCTTAAAGTGTTCTCTATCAGCTCACCTTATTTAATTGCATGCACTTCAACTGAAAATCTTTTATCAGTCCGGTTAGTGTTTGCTTTATACATTTTAATGTTTTGCACTATGATTGTATTGTAACAAGAGATTATTTTCACTTTCTAGGTTGCTTCACTGGAGAAACTTTACAAGATTTTTGAAAGATGTTAATTAGGGCAGAACCGTTCCCGGTTCATGATAGTTGCACATTACCATAAGCTGTTTGTTCTGATTGCGGCTCATCTTGAAACTTGCATATAAATCTATAAAGTGCTGTCTTTGTCCTAGATTATCAGTCATATGAAAGTGAAAATATTGTTCTCCAGACTAGTTTGGTTTGCTGGTTTAATTTTGCTTAATGTGCTTAAGCAACTTACTCGTGTCATTTGTCCAAATTTCTGTCACTGCTTGGAGCCTTTAGTTCGATTAGCTTTCCCTCATTAGATTCCAGAGTTGTTTTACAACTTGAAAACTAATATCAATTTTTTGAAGAATTTTGGTTCAATTTACCATAATGAAAGATAGATAATTAGACTCAGTAGTTCCAAGACAAGAGTCGATTGCTGCATTGTGAAGAGTGGTGAATTCAAACAATGTGGATGAGAACTGACTTTACAAAGCACCTAATTTCACCAGTAACATGGAAGTTTGTATATGCTATTACGGAAATAGTGGATATGAACAAAGTAACTCTCCGGCCATTCAAGAGAGTCAGAGTAAGGATGTTAAGTCGTTGGCCCCGCCCTGCTACGCCTATTGAGAAATTGGGGCTGGAACAGCGAACACGATTTCTGTGCTTGATATCGTGCAAATTTAGAAGGTAACTCTCGTGTAAGCTACACAATATTTAAAGCAAACATCTTGAAAAATATTAGAGATCAACAGTTTTAAGAAGATGGGAATATTCAAAACACTGTAACTTTGAAATTATTTCCCCCCTTCAAATTTAGTTTAAATATGACCAAATGACAGAAATTCAGATAAATGCCATCCAATGGTAAATATCTCTCTGTTTTCTCGGCCTCTTTACTCTGCTTCTGCATCCATTGAAGAAAAAAACATAGCATGTTCTTCAAACCATTCTCATCTAAAAATGAAAAGAATACGTGAATTATTCAAGCTGCTCGAGATTTTTTATTATGCCAAAATAATTTGCAAGTAGAATGCTGCAGCATTACCAAATCTTGGTATTGTATGACCCTTTGGGTGATGAATTACCAATGGCAATCATGCTACAGAGCCCAGGTTTAAATCCTGGGCTCCAATCCAGAGCTGAGGTGGAAACACTTCGGCCGTTGATCTTCTACACTTGGGGGGGCCCGCCATCAAAATCGGGGGCAGGGGTTCCTGGGTTTTTTTAGCATTTTCCTTACCAATGGTTCTACAAATGATTCCAGGAGTAATGTCCCATACGGTTTCAAGAAATCATTCTCCTGTCAGGTCGAGATTTAATACACAATACTGAACAATGAAGTAGGTAAGTTCTTAATATTCCTTTGGGGTGAGGTCGAGACGACCGAACTAAACATACTAGAAAGGCATAAGATAGCAGGGATCAAATCAAGGCTGGAATTGGAGCTACCTAAAAAGTGAACAGATGGACATTGAATTGGCAACGAATATGCCTTCTCAGCCATTGATGGATTCTTCAAATTTGCTCCTCCAATTATTATCAATAATTTTACCTTAGGTACATTTTGTAAGAGCCATACCCTGCAAACCAGAACCTTCTATACCGTTTGGCTACGGTGGAAGATAAAATATAAATAAATAATTCCCTACCTTTGCTTATAATCCTGGCAATGCAGCCGATAAAATCGCACCCTGAATTGTTCAAAATCGACTCCAAATTAGTTGATCTAACTCTATTACGTTCATAAAAAGTACGTTAAATATACCTGATGTAGGTTCTCAAGAGGTTAAACGAAAACGAATTATCGCAAGATTCGCAGAAAAATAAAAATTGAACACGAAGGATTTTTTCGCAACAAAGGCCCCGATGTTCAGCCTTACGGTCTATTCACCACGTTGAGCATCTACTAAGTAGATTTAACTTTAAATCCACTAGAAAATTACTCAAGAATGTTACAAATGTACGAAGAAATACAAAGTTTCTTCACAGTTCTGATCTCGCCTCACAAGCAACTATCACAACACCACTACAAACTCGCACGAAGCAGTATCACAAAGTTATACATCAAGTGTAGTATCAAAATCACTTAGATTTACAGAAAAGATTTTCACTCAGAGATATCGGTGATGTGAGAGAAAAGAGAAACCCTATAATACACTCAGAAAACCAGAATGGATCTCTCTCGAAGAAAATGAGGCGTCCAAGAGTTCTTTAATCAGGTAAGGCAAACAGTTGTTGATCAACGGCGAGAAGATGGCCAGATGTATGACCAGATCTTATCTTCAAGAAAGGCAAAAGTCGCACTTCAAGGGAACACGTTTCTCTTAATAAATGGACCAAGACCCATTACAACAAACCCGGCCCAAAGAACTTCAAGTGGCGAAGAATGTGAGGCATTTTTATTTGGGATCAACAATCTCCACCTTGCCGAGCAATTCTTGGCAATTTCTAGTGGCTAGATAACTACTTGTTTCATTTGCTCTTATTCTCCTGTAAAAAACAAAAAAATAGAAATTAGTATCCAAAAGAAAATTTCAGTTAGAATCTTCTAAACATAATACCCGTCAAACAGTTTTTGAACTTGTTTAAGGGCAGAACTTTAGTTTTCAAATAAGAGGGATTATATTTAGTTGAACTTGCTCAACCATGTTCCTAACAAAATGAAATTTAACATCAACATGTTTTGTGTGATTATGATACATTGGATTCTTGCTAAGATGAATGACATTTTGATTATCAGTATAAATTTTGACAGAGTTATTTATAAAACCAATTTCATTCAAAAGACCTCTTAACCAAAGACTTTCTTTAACAGTATCACAGGCAGCTATATATCCTGCCTCTGTTGATGATAAGGCTACTAGCTTTTGTAATTGTGATTTCCAACTAATGCAACTGTCACACAAAATGAAAACATAAGAAGAAGTTGATCTCCTTTTATCTAAATTATCAGTAAAGTCTGAATCAGTATAACCCTTTAAAATTATGCCATCATCACATCTTTTAAACAATAGGCCTAAATTAGATGTTCATTTTAGATATTTCAATATACATTTCATAGCAAGCCAATGTAATTCACCAGGATTAGATGTAAATCGACTTAATATGCTTATACCATGTGCTAAATCTAGTCTAGTGGATACCATGAGATACATAACAGATCCTACAGTGTTAGCATAAGGAATTCTTTCCATCCTTTTAAATTCTTCATCAGTCTTTGGTGATTGTTCAGTGGACAATTTAAAATGGTTGGAAAGTGGTAAAGAAACAGATTTGCAATCAAGCATGGAGAACTTTTCAAGTATCTTATGCACATAAGCAGATTGTTTTAGGATTAGTGTGCAATATTTTCTATTTCTTTCTATTTCCATCCCAAGAATTCTCTTAGCTTGTCCTAAATCTTTCATCTCAAATTCAGATTTTAACTTTTCTTTAATAACATCAATTTCAGATTTGTTAAGGCATGCAAGTAACATATCATCTATATAAAAGTAGATAAACAGATTTAGGTCCACCCGACCCTTTGAAAAAGAAACAAGAATCATAACTGCTCCTAATAAAGCCCAAGGTCTAAATATAAGAGTTAAACCTTTTATACCATTGTCTAGGGGCCTGTTTTAGGTCATAGAGAGATTTCTCTAACAACATACCTTTTCCACGGTTGATTTTACCTCATAACCTTTTTGTTGACTCATATAAATAGTCTCCTCAAGGTTTCCATTTAAAAAGGCTGTTTTTACATCCAACTGATCAAGGTCCCAGTTGAAATGTGTAGTTAAGGCAAGAAGGATTCTTATAGAAGTGTATTTAGCAAGGATCTCCTTCTTTTATCTTAAAAATT